GGCATTGAGTGAAGAATACAGATGACAGAAAAAAACGTAGCAAATTTTACCAGGACCTACTGAGCTAAAGATAAAAACCAATGAGAAACTTCACTCATGCATTGTTGTTTTTTTTTTCCAGGAAAAGAGAGAGAGAGAGAGAGAGGAGAGAGAGAGGGAGAGGTCATATTTTGAAAGTGAGATCACTTTTGAAAGTGAGAGCAGAACTGGGGGTTTTAAAGAGTTCAAAGAGTCTGTAATAGTTAAATTGTCAAGCAAGTTGAATTTTAATAGCATAAATTTTGGACCAAGTCATCTGAGTTCTCCATCATCTCTTTCCAGTGTTTGGTGGTATAGAAGTAGAAGTGTAGAAATCAAATACTGGAGAGAGATTCAATATGTGTATTCGCTTATGGGCTTGGCAAAAATCTACCATGAGATAAAACCAAAAGCAAACATAATGTAATATAATTTAAAAGGGCCCCAACACACTAAACCATAAAGCTATTCTAAATATGGAAGTTCTTAATGTTTTCAAATAGCTATTAAAATATTTCCAGCAATTTGTACTGTTAAACTGACCACATATACTTTCTTAACAGTGTTCTTAGAGTTCCATAATAACACTGTAGTAACTCTGTGAGATGCCTTACAATTCATACAACACTTGCATATGTATTATGCCATTTGATTTTCACAAGTTCAGACACAAGTCAACTTGAGGCAGGATAAAGAATTTAGATCATTTGAGTGGCTTTCGTGAGTTTTCTTTTGTCCCACCATTATAAGGGCTTAGGAAAAGTCCTGTTAACGATATGAGGAGAGGAAAAAAAAAAAAAAACTCCTTCATTTACTACATATATTATTTTAAATTTGCTTCTACCTGTGGTTTTGGTTCTCACTCATTGCCTTCTGCTTAGCCATAAAAATCTAGATTGTGCCTAAGGCTGTAGGTTATATAATAAGAACGACCTCTGCACTTACAAGATTATTGAAAGGACTTTGTAACCTACTTCTTTTGGTTTTGATAATGTTCTAGGCAGTTGCAGCAATATAATTAAACACATTTAAAGTACTGAAGTTCAATCAAATAATTCAACAAATTATACTGAGTATCTTCTCTATGCAAATACTATAATATGTGCTTAAAATTTACAGCACAGGGGAAATAAGAAATGTTCATGGAAGAAGTATAGGTTTAACATGATAGCAAGCTTGAGATGTGTGAACAGATTGATATCACTGTCAGAAAAGCTAACGTTATCCCGGGCTGTGTTATAAGATGTCTGGCATATAGAGCAAAGATGGTGATAGACTGCTTGTTTCCCTTTATATTCTTAGTATCTTTCCACACCATAGGTATGTTCACCAATAGACTCTTAGAAAACACTAGAGCTATCTAGAAGAGAGTATCAAAAGTGGTAGAGAGATTCAGAGCAACGTAATATCAGAAATTTTTCACTAGAGCTATCTAGAAGAGAGTATCAAAAGTGGTAGAGAGATTCAGAGCAACGTAATATCAGAAATTTTTGAAAGAACTAGGAATATTTAACCAGAAAACTGAATATATACGGACAGCAGAAGGAAGATGGATTATCATTATTGTGTATGACTAACAGAGGAGAAAATGAAGACCTTTGTATTGACCTTATAGGAAGCATATTTGGGTTCAGAATGAGTAAGATTACTTTATGCAGATTTATTAAAGGATAAACAACTTGTCAAGGGCTTCAACACTGGACACAGTATTGTATTAAGATACATTTAATTCCTTTTCAAATTTGAGTCACATTCTTCATGTACATTAATAACATAAAAATCATAGTGTCATTATGTTTTTAGCTAATATAAAGAGATTTTTGGCATAGGGAATAATATTTATAGATAATGTACCATTTGACCTGAACCTTGAATGGTAGGATTTTGGCTGTAATAGAGGCTACCTTAAGCTAACAATTAAATGATATATGTGTATAAGGATTGCAATTATTCACAGTACAACTTAAATATGAAAAGAAAAGGTAGAATTTTCATTTTATCTAAAACTTATTTGTATATCTTCATGAAATCTTATTCACTGATATAAAGAGAAGGGAAATAATGTGTTTTTAGTCTAATCCCGGAAGTTAGATCCAATCAGTATTTTAATCAGTTCCTTTAGGTACAGTCCAGCTTTTTAGGTAAGATCATCAGTCTTTCAGATTTTTACCTTTTCTTCTACATCTTATTTTAGATGGTATTTGGGAATATCAGGACAGGAGAGTTTCCATTATCTTGGAGCACTGGGACAAAGGGTCATTGGATTTGAATAATGTCTTTTGCCTTCTTTGGTCTCTGTGGTGACATCCCTTGTATGTCTAATTGCTTTTGGTCTTTCACTTGAGGTTGGTGGCTAGAGAAACTCATGACCTGTGTTTTCTCAGTTTGTTCCGGACCTGGTAGCCATCTCTGAGTCTGACAAGTCTCATCTTTTTGGTGCTTTAGCCATCCCTGGTCTAGAAGGTCCACTATGCAGTTTTTGTTAGCATTTTAAAATCAGGCTTCACAGCAGGTTGGCTAGCTTTCATTCAACTACCTTCTGAGTATACAGAAACTCACATCCTCAATGTGAGAGAGTAAAAATGTGGCTGGTTGCCATTCTCAAACACTTCAACCTCTTTTCCATAATTCTCTGAGCCAAAGAGAATATACTTTTCTCTCCTTTACCTACCTCAAGCCACCATCTTCCTTATACCAATATCTGGCCTAAGTTGTGAACTGAGATATCTTGTCTTTCCTATGGGATAAGCTCTTATCATTTTGAACACTATATATCAAGTCTTAGACTTGATATATTAAAACATAAGCAAATCTGTATTTTATTTTTGACAATGCCTTGATTTGAAGCCTAGCAACTTGCGAAAAAAAATCCTATGCTAAATGTCAAAAGTATAACATTAACTCTTTTTCTATTTCTTAGGTAATAATCTAAATCCTTAGCAGAAAGATGCCTTGGATTGAATAGATCTAATAAGCAGAAAGTCACATTAATATTTCTCAAACATTACCCCGTTTTCCCACACAAATATTCTGGCTCACAAATCTGATCATGCTAATTTCCCAGATAAAGCCTTTCAATAATTTCCCATTCCCTTTAAATAGAATCCTTTTAAAGGCTTTCTTGACTAATCAGACTAGGTTAGGATACCTATGTGTCTTTCACAAGTTCCCATGATTCTGTTTTTCATAACACTCATTATAATCTTCCTTTGTCAATATCTATCTTTCCTAATAGATTTGAACTCAAAATTTCCAACATATAGCATATTGTCCATGGACATGGCTAGTATTTAATAAATATTTGTATGGATTATAATTTTAATTATATATAAATTAAATTTCCCACCTGTAAATCAATAAATTTGATTTATTGATCAAAATCTAGCTCACACAGTTCCTTCTGAATTTTGTAAATGTGATACTACTCTGAAAGATGAACCCGCTGTGGCTTAGCTGACAATATCAATTTCTATTCCTCCAGACCCAGGTTTTAGAACACAGGAAATTCACCAATAAGTGCCATCTCGTCATATTTCTTGACAAGTAATAATTTATCCTCTCCTTAGGGACACTCCTACCGTGACATACGAATTTTCTCAAACTACAAGAAGGAGAAGGAGATCCAGCTTCATTAATACCTGAGTTGATAATGAGGACATTTAAGTTTAAGATACCCAATTATCTTCCACAGATTTTTATCAACTTGCAGTTGTGCCAAGTTTTCTCATAGACTTATAGTTTACCTTAAGCTGGTCCTCCTGTTTTATGAGGTTTCAATTAACTAGATTTAGTCATGTTATGGCTAGAAGGATGTGACTAGAAAGCGTAGCATATAGCAATCTGTATGTAAATTGTTACTTTATTGGATAACATTTATGTTTGAAATTAGAAAATCAATAAAAAGGAACTTTAATTTCCAACAAGCATACACATTTTAAAAAAGAAGAGAGGGGGGCTGGCACTGAATTGTTCCTAAGATAGCAACACAACTAAAAACTATTCCAAAGAAGCAAATGGCAACAGAGGTCAATAGCTGTGACCTATATCTATTTTAAAACCTTTTTCACCTCCATGAAGTGCACCGCAGAATCTTAAACACCTTTAAAAAGAATGGGCAAATTTAAAGTAACTCAAGGAAGCACATTTCTCATTGTGCTTCCATATCCATGCGAGCAGGTACTGTTTTTTTACCCCCTTCACTAGCGCCCAGAACAATGCCCAGCGCAGAGTAAATATTTAATACTTGGTTGTTGAATGAATTAATGAGTGAACGGAGCAAGCCAGACTGAAGGCTGAAAGATTAGTGGCTGTCAGTCCCGAAGCACACGTGCTGCCTTTCCAGCAAGCTGACGTCTCATTCCCTCACCTTTCTGGCAGTTCTGAATTCCTGTTTGCTCCTCCTTCGGGATGGCCAAAATTCTGTCCCTAAACCCTGCCACTCCTCGGTTAATCCACACATCTCACACGGAAGCAGCTGTTCCCAAGGGACGCCCAGCTGATCAAGCCGGGGCCGAGTGGGGAGTAGCTCCCGACCTGACCAGGGAAGGCAGCCCTGTTACGAAGAGTCTGGACGCATATTTTTCCAGTCCTTCATAAACAACCAATCTGCTCCCTCTCACCTCCCCATGGAGACGCCCCAGTGCCAACCTGGGTCCGACTGACATTGTGACAAGGGAAAAGAGACTAAACCACTCTCACGAGGAGAGAGGGCGAGGCCAGCGCGACGCACCCCCTGGGGCCCGCAGTTTCCGAGAGCTTGGCTGTCGGACACGGAGCTCAGCGGGTTGAGGGGGCTGAGGAGCGAGGGCAGCAGGGGGCGCGAGCGCGTGGACGGGCGGGGTGGGGGGGTGGGGAGAAAGGAGGAGCACCGCGCGCCGGCAGGTGGGCGCGTCCTCTCACGCGCGTGCGCGCGCCGCGCCTTCTCCCTCACGTTCCCCGCGCGACGCGTCTCCTCCCCGCCGGGAGCGCGCGCCTCCCGCCCTCGCGCCGGGTCCCTCTCGGTCTCTTGGAGCGGCACACTCCCCGGAGCTCCTGCCACGGCCGTCGCCTCAGCCGCGGCTCTCTAGCCTGGAGGCTCAGCCTCGCCCCTCAGAGCCTCATCCCAGGCCTCCTCCCTTCCTTCCGACACTCCCCTTCCCTTTCCCGCCCTTCTCTCCCACCCGGTCCATCGAGAGAGCCTGTATACGAAGCAGGCGGGCTTGAGAAGGGAGTTGGGAAAATGGAGGTGCCGCGCCTGGATCATACCCTCAACAGCCCCACCAGCCCCTGTGAGGAGGTGATCAAAAACCTCAGCCTGGAGGCCATTCAGCTGTGCGACCGGGACGGTAAGAGCGACGGGGGCTGTGAGGAAAAGGGGCCGAGCCCGCGCCCAGGCGCTGCGGCCGCCCCGGCTCTGCCGACCCTGCTCGCCCGGGCGTCAGGGTCTTTTGTTGTCCTCCCGTACAAATAAATACAGGTGGGGCTCCTCTCCGCTCATCCGCCCCCTCCTCAGACAGTAGAAACAAAAGGACCCCAGGGCTCTTGCGTTGGCGCGGAAAGTAGCCGTAGTCGTCGGCCGCCCGGCCCAGCGTCGAGGAGCTGCCCGGGCGAGGGCGCCGTTCCCACCCGCCGTTCCTGCCCGGGACGAGCCGTTTCCGATCCTGCCGCAGTCCGGGTTTCCAGGGTCTACCGGAACAGGGGGGGAAATGCCCTCTGGATGTTTCTAGCACCCCTTCCTTCCCCTCTCCACCTGCACACGTTAGCATTCTCAGCCCAGAAACTTATAATTTCCTTTTTTAAACCTCCCATCTTCAGACCCGCACCTCCCAAATTCAGAAGTATTTTTATGCTCTCAAATAGGGAGTGAGGTGACAGATTTTTCAGTGAAGGGGCGCGGGGACAATGTGCGTTTCAGCACCAAGGACAGCCACAATCTTAGCGGTTTGGGGCCATGATTCAGACTCAAAAACCTGTGAAGTGGCCTAATATATCTGCTGTGGTAGAGAATATGTGGCGAGTACTCACCATTGTGTCTTGATATTATATAGCTTATTCCATTGTTAAAGTTGGCAGTCTCCGAAAGAAGGAAGTGATTGAACACAGGTTTGAGCGTGAAAGAGATAAGCCAGTACTCTCTTCAATATGGGTAGCTTGTAGTGCTTCTGTGTTATTTGGAGTAGTTGAAGAGTCCGTCTATTTAAGTAACGTTCAACAAAACTTCATTTTTAAAAAAGTCATCTGATTACTAATTGGCCAGGTAATTGTAAAATTGGACATCTGACAAAGGAAAAACAATTTACATGTGGTCAAGATGACCCTAAACACTTTTTGGCTATAAATGGAATCAGTAATAGTGTATGGAGAGGATGATTTAAAAATATATTTTTTTTTGGTCAGGGTTATGTAGAGATACTCCTGTGCTCACAATAAGGTCATAAAATTTATCAGTATGTAATCCAAATAGAGAGCAGAGGTCTTATTTCAAAGTCATTTAAATGGTAACTTGGTTTGGCGTTGCTATACAGTCTAGTTTAGGTCAATTGAACACTGAATTTCTGTTTATTAATAAAATTTTAACACAATAATTGCCCTTTGAAGCCAAAGCCACTTTGAAATAATTTCTGAAAAAGCTATAGTATGGATAGATAAATACTCTTACAAAAGCTGTTTGTAATTCCTTTATCCTTAGGTCACCATAGTAATAGTTGCACATATTTACAGTATCTAAACAGAAGTAATAATTTTGGCATTCCATATATAAATTTGCATTATTAGACTATAGAGATTATTTTTAATATACCACATAGGAATTCTATGAGTTTTAGTTATGCTTTTGTGAAGAGACTTTTTCTGTTGTTACCATTGTAAATGTTTTGATTTTCCTAGGTTGCTTTGATAGAAAACCAAAATAGATTTTATTTTAATTTACTTTGACGATTTATCAAAAGCTTATTACTGTAGTTATTGGAAATAGACAATTCATAACACATAATTTTAAAACTTAAAATTGCATTTGCCACATGTTTCAAAGATAATTGAGAAAATAAAGTTGTTTTTCTTTTTTATGAAGTTTATGAAGTTAGTAATGTAGAGTACAGAAACTAGTGCTGCATTTACTGTGGTCTCTTCTATTTTATTTTGGTAATTTTTTTTAGTTGTTTCAGCTCGTGTTATGAATCCTACAAAATGAACAAATTATGTTGCATTTAATGGGGGGGTGCTAACACTAAGCAGTATCTATGAAAATTACTTATTTACAGACTTCTAAATATTAAATATCTTATATCCACAAATACAAAGAGCTAACTCTTCTATTAAAAGATGTGTAAAAATCTGGAAATAGCTTATGTAGAGATGTTACTAAATGCCTAACTTTTTATTTTGTGACAGTATATATCAATTCCAAAATATATAGGTTTTTATGGCAGAACAATTGAAAAACATTGCATTAAGTTTGCCAAGCAGAACTTATTTGTCATAATTTTATATTCAGAAATTTTCAGCTAGGTACTATTTACTCCCTTTACTTCCTTTCACTTCCTCTCAGGTGTCATTATTTTAGTTCTGTAAATATATAACAGAAAGACTAGGATGTGGCAGAAGATCTGTTACATGCTTAAATATATAATAAATGCTAAATTTTCATAGTTTTAGAATCACAGAAATACATTTGTCTTACTTGCTCTTTGCTTTTTTCTGTTCTACTATTCTCAGATGGGAAAAAAATTAGCATAACAGTAATTTCTTGGAAGTGGAAAGAAATAGAATAGGAGAAAATATATTGCTGTTAAATATATATTATCTTTATTCTTTCCACTTACAGATTTTTTAATTTTAGAGTGTTTTTGCATATTTAATCAATTAATAGTTATAACTCCTGGTGAACTGTATGTCTTTATTCTGCTGGCTCTTGTGTTTTTTTTCTTTCACTTGTTATTTTCTTATAAATTAACCTGTTTACATAATACACAATAATTTATGTTTCCTTTTTTTCCCATAGTTTCTCCAACTAACATTTAGAAGAATATGGAATAGAATCTAAGCAGTCACATAATTGGATTTTTTAATTAAGCAAGAGGGAGGTTCTTCTACACACATGTTATTTCATGTGTACTTTTATCCTAGGCATGTGTGCTAGTACATGGTCCCTGCCTAGATGTTACCTAGGATTCTGAATAGACTTCTATTAAGAAATCTCTGAAGATGTGCTGTAGATCTATTACTTTCTACAATCTCTGTTGCAAGTAGAAGAGTGTTTCTGTTCCTCCATCTCTGCTGTGCCGAAGTATCCTCAAGTTGCATGTATGATATACTTCAATTGTGGATTTTCCAAAGAAGTTGAAGGGGGTAAAAAAACAGTAATTGTTCATCAGGAAGCACTGATAATATGAGAACCCATTTTCAGTTTGTTTCTTCACATAGATACTTGAGACCCTAATTGACTTGTGATAAGACAGAACAGCCCCCAACTTCATGCATATAATTCTACATTACTTCTACTTCTCTTCATTTTTTAAAAATCATGCGCATATATATGTATATGTGCATATACATATATATATATAAGCTTTATTTCCTTGCTGAAAGGGAAAGATTTATTATATATATGTTGTTTTACATTCATTCAAGCTTCCTGCACTCTTTTATAATAGTAAGGAAGAAAACACAAAATTAATTGTTGTATAGCACTTAAATCCATCCCCCAAGCTTTCCTAGGTTTTTTTTCTTAATGTTTTATTTATTTCTGAGAGAGAGAGAGACAGAGAGACAGAGTGAGCAGCAGAGGGTCAGAGAGAGAGGGAGACACAGAATTCGAAATAGTCTCCAGGCTCTGAGCTGGCTGTCAGTACAGAGTCCGATGTGGGGCTCGAACCCACAAACCGTGAGATCATGACCTGAGCCGAAATCAGACGCTTAACCGACTGAGCCACTCAGGTGCCCCAAAGCTTTCCTAGGTTTAACAAGTGTTATTTCCATGATTATTTTATGACTGCCTAGATACAATTTATGGAGTTTATGATGCTACTGAGGAAGGGAATACATTTTAAGGAAATTGCACAGAGAGAACCTGACATTTCTGTCTTTGTGTCTGAAATAGTTTTGTGAAGGAAAGGAAAAACAAGTTTTCTCTTTTTTACATATTTAAAAAGAAATGTCTTTTAATTTTTACTTGTATCTCTTTAAATTTAAATAAGTTGTGACTTATTTATGCTTATTGATATGTGAATTAAACAAATGTTAACTTTGGAAAGAAAATGATACAGAAATGCTTAATAGTTAGGACAGTGCTGTATGAGATGATCTGTAATGACATTTTCTGAAGCAGACATCTAGGAAGAGTACTTATACTGTTACCCTTAATAGTATAAGTACATAAGGTAGTTATTGTTCAGTGTCATTGACATTCATATACCATAGTGGCAATACCATTTTAGAATCACACCTCCGACAGAGTATTGGCTCTTGATAGATATATTACCTTAGGCAAATTAGTTGTTTTAGCTTTAAGCTTTCTCATGTAAAATGAATCTATTAATGTCAGTCCTGTAGGATTGTTAAAATAATTAAATATTTCATATCATTTCCAAAATTCTTGACAAAGTAGAGAATAATTATTATTGTAAGTGGCCTATTATTCTCCGCATACCTTCTTGAGTTGAACTACTGCTTTTATTTATTTACTTATTTATTTATATCCAATGTTTAGATATTGTTTTTCATTTCAATTGTGTTTTATTTACTTAGTAAATCCTTCTTATGCCACTTCAACTGTAGGAGTAGAAACTAAACCCTGAATTTTATTTTGTTTTTATTAAAACTTTTTAAATGTTTTATTTATTTTTGAGAGAGAGAGAGAGAGAGACAGCATGAGCAGGGAGGGTCAGAGAGTGAGGGAGACACAGAATCTGAAACAGGCTCCAGTCTCCGAGCAAGCTGTCAGCACAGAGCCCGACACAGGGCTTGAACCCACGAACCGTGAGATCATGACCTGAGCTGAAGCCAGATGCTTAACTGACTGAGCCACCCAGGCGCCCCTAAACTCTGAATTTCAAAAGAATAGTTAATTTTAAAAACAAGGTTATAGTACTCTGTCTTTTGCTTATATTTTTCTATCCTGTCGGTAATATCCTTGTCAGCCTTAATCCTAAAAGCTCTTTTAGCTTCCACTTCAAACCTGCTGTTTGCTGCATTTCATGTGCTTTGTGACCTTGATATCTGCTTTGAGTTAGGTATTTGTATCAGAGCCCTTCTCTGTTCTTAACATTTTTTTCTTTATGATTATTTTCTAAGGATATGTACTAGAACGTGTGATCTCTGGATTCATTTCTTTGACCCAGATACGACT